GTGACTTGTTGGGCGGCAAAATTATCGTATTCAGTAAAGAACTCAAGCTCTTTGTATCCATAGGTCGCGCGGAACTGGTCCTCAACGATAAACCCGTAAAGGTTGCTGCCCGGTGGCGTGATGACATGAATGGAATTCGTGTACAGTGTGACTTCGAAGGTGTGCGTAGGTATCTCATATAGAAGCGAGGGGCACATTTGTACGACCATCAAACACCACGTGCATCCATTCCTGATGCCCGCTCGGAAGTTCTCGTCAGTGACCTAATTCAAACCCTGGATCAGCCTACGTTGTATTCATTGGGTATCTTGGGTAATTGTGGCAATCGAGACCCACAAACGCTTTGTAATATGCAAATCATAGCATAATGACCGCGTTTAACACTCACGTCGTATTTGATCTCGTCAATCTCACCACGCCCTAGCTTCTCAAACCCCTCCGTATCGAAGCAATTTACCCAGCAAGGCTCGCAAACCAACGCGCGTACACGCTCGAGCGGCTCCGGTTCACGCACCATCGTGACGGTATATAGTACAACGCGATCTGCGCACGGTAACGTTAAAGTTGGTGTGCCGTCGTCGAATAAGTCGGGGTGGACGGGGAGAGGCGAAATGAGAAAGGAAGGCTGAACGCAATCTTGCGGGGTTTTGAAGTTCGGGCGCCACCCACGTGAGATGTAGCTGCCTGCTGCGCCATGCGTTCGTATGTGGAAAGTGGCGTGTTAAGCAGCTGCGTATGAGTATGTCAGATTTAAGCGTCACTGCCATGGTGCAAGGACGAGTTTCGCTTCTGCGATTGTTGTGAAGGAGATCTTAGTACAATGAAGCTCGGTGATGTGGGGAAATTCGTGGACTAGTTGTTAAGATACCTCATTAGCATCGAGATTGAATGTCGTTCTTTGTTCAAATATGGCGGAGCAGCACGACTGAGGCGAAAGACATGTGGTAAGGCTGAGACAGCACACACGTGCCGCCCAGACAACATGACCATGCGGTAGTGGTCTGCCAAATGAGGGTATGACAAGGCTGAGGCAGCCAACCCAATAGGCATAACAAAATGCATCGTTCAGTCGACACTACTAAACTTATGGGCTTCGCAGGATGAGTGCGCGCATATCATGCATTGCCGATCAGAATGTGCTATGGTGCTCCTACACAACCTGGCCGTACGGTGCCCCACCATCAAGCTTGAAGTAACCTGGCTGCAAGTTCTGGAACACACCTGTGGGATCGTACTTTTTCGAGACCTTGTTCAGCCTAGCCACGTTTTCCGCGCCGTAGCCTGAGATAACAGGCTGATAGGGACTACTATACGGCATGTACATGTAGTCATTATACGCACCCATCTCCTTCGCCATGGCAACCGATGCGCTCAGAAAGTCTTGCGCCGCTTTCAAGACCACCTTGTCATCCTTCTCGTCCGTCCAAGACAGGTAGAAGAGGGCGTGGAATAGAGGGCCGTCTTCTGGCCGAAGACCCAGCGCATTGCCGCCCTTTTTCTGCATGGCTGCAATGGCGGGTTTGCTGAAGGCTTGAAACGTGACACTGGGCGAACCAACGGGGATACCCGGCGCGATCTCGAAAAGATGGTCTGTCATACGCTTCATCAACTCTGTGTTTAACTTGAAGGACTGGGACCACATAGTCGTGCGGAAGCCGTCTGGCATGCTTTGGCTGAGACCAGGGGTTGTGTCGGCCAGACTGCAATTACGGGTGTTGTCGGTGAGTGGAGGCAATGCGAGGTATTCCTTCAGTATAGCGGGTGGGTTCGCTGGGTCGACCGGCTCGAAATACTCGTACTCAGTCGATGCAATCTTGACGCCACGAGAGTAAGCGACGGCAACAAAGTGGGCGGCCTTGGTATCGGTCTCAGCTGCCTCAACTGTGTTTCCAAACGCGTCGAACAGGGCAGGCGCGTAAGTTGCGTTGTACTGGCGTTTGCTCGCAAACATAAGACCTTGAGGTAGGGTTTCGTAGTTGAACGCCGTGATCACGCCGAAGTTGTTGCCGCCGCCGCGAAGGGCCCAATAGAGGTCTGGGAAAGTCTTTTGGCTCACAGTAAGGATGATACCCGAAGCGGTGACGAGCTCATATGAGGCAATGTTGTCACAAGCTAAGCCGTACTCGTTGGTGTGGTGACTGATACCTCCGCCGAGCGTGAGTCCGCCGACTCCGACATATGCCGCCTATTTGGCATCAGTAACGAACTCAAGGTATTGAATTTGATCATTCGACTTACTCGTCCACCAACAATGGCAAGATTGTAGGGCGTCAGGTAGTCGTATACCTCCTTCCATCGGTTCCCAGGGCCGACGGTAAAAGTCTTCTTATCCGTAGAGAGTTTCTTTTGATTCATGTTGACCACATCGACAGTGATGCCACCTTCAATGCTAGATGCGCCGGGAAAGGCCGCATGGCCTCCGCTTTTGACTGCGAAGGGACATGTTGTGAGACGTGCGATCAGTACTAGGCTCGAGACATCTAGGGCGGTACTAGGCTTGAACGTGCAATGAGGTTCGACTTCGAGCTGCTGTATAGACCAGTACGTTGTTGGCGCAGCGCTGGATACCTTGGCCGCTCCAAAAACGAGCTTGAGGGAGTTGCACTTTCCGAAGCTAATTAGCGGAAGATGGGTAAGATTGGGTAAATGAAACCTACGGCAATGGAGCAGCCCTTCAAGGAGGATCTGGCCGCCAGACCAGCCAAGGCGGGGATGGTAGACACGTTGATGCCGTTGTCAATAAGAGCCTCCGTCACATTGAAGTCAGCCGGCTCGAAGACATCCTGAGATGATGCTCCAGCTGCCACCGCAAGAGCGCAAACGCATAGTTGATGGAAAAGCTTCATGACCGCTGAAGTAAATAGCCGCGCACCCAAGGAATTAAGATCGGAACTTCTGCGGCCTATATGTGAAGGGACGGGCCATCGATCGCAGGAGACAAGCCTTTTGTAGTCGTATCCAAACCCGCGGAGCCCCCAGGGCGAGTAATGAGACGGCTCTTACGGGTCTAGAAACGCCGTTGCGCGTTTTCTATGCGATGTACAGCGCGTGTTAGTGAGATCATATAAACTGTCCAATCGCGAGGGTTCAGATCGTTACTTCTGCAGGTGACGGGCGGCAGGCCGCGAACCGAGATGCCCACAGTATGCAAGTCGCACATATTGCCTCGCGGAAGTAAGGAGCAAGCACAGTCCCTGCAGGATCCTGTACCTAGATGGTGCGACTTGTATGCCTAGCTAACTTTGAAGGGATTGGACTTTTGATCTTGGGCACTGAGCCCCTCTTCTTCGAGAGATGTCTTGTCGAGCGCTTGGAACGATACGCATCTAAAGTGCATCTTTTCCGCCCATTGTCGGATCCAAGACAGTTAGTTGACGCATTCTGTAAGGGAGGCAAGCAATCGAACTGCAAATGTTGATGCAAAGAGAGATGGAAATCGGGTTGGGACGGCTCGGTTCCGTGCTCCGCCACTAGCGCGGCTTGGCGTTGCGGCACGGTCTGCGGGTGAACCTAGCTATCGGTCCTCCACGAATCCTTCAATCCATCGTCCATCACCACCAAGTTTCTTGTCCGTACTCTGGATTCGATCCTTTCGCTACACTCGCATCATATGATTACAACTAGCGTATATCAGGCAGGTGCAGCTTCCAGCTCTTGTCCCGGGCGGTAAGCTCGTGGCAAGCCTCATTAGCTATTCGATAGCCCCGGCCCTGTCAACGCCGACAAGTTACCCCCTGACATCTAGAGTTAGGTCAGGACAGGGAGATAGGCTTCCAGACGTCCACCGATGAATACATGCCCTCTAACTGTCGCTTACAAATTCAGAAAATGAATAAGCAATGTGTGCGACACGCCGCCCAGAGAGCATCTAGGACGAACAGCTCGCATCAAGCTTTTGCTACGCTAAGAGCATGGATCCACCAAACATGGCGCGGCGACACGCACTGAAAGTTCGGTCAGCTGTGCCTCTTCCTTCCTGTTATTGCAATCAAAGTTGCCGCGACATGAGACTGCAATCCATGCACCAGGATTCTGGTACGTTGAGATCCACTGTACCGCTGGCGCGGTCAAGCAGGATGTCGGACGACTCTTATACCTGATGCTGGATGCACTGTTTGTAGCAACAGACCCCATTGTCTACCCTGGGCGTCCCTTCCTCGCCAGTACGTTGCCCATCCAGTTGGCACTACCCTTTCATTCTTTAGATTTACTGTTATGACTCTCTCTACTCACGAATCCAACGGCGGAGGCTCGAGCGCATCGTTTCCACAGAGAACGGTACGGGTAGTCGGCTATACAACCATCTCCATAGTGTCAGTGGCTATCATAGCCCGATGCTTGCTACAGTATCTGCGACCGAGGAGAATAGTTGCACAAGACTGCTGCATGGCCTTTGCCTACCTGCTTTTCCTTGGGCAATGTATACTCTACATTGTCCTGTCACCTATACGGGTCAAGGTGCAGGAGGTAACGGAAGGCAAGATACCACCCTACCCCGAGCTATCTTATCATATCTATCTCATTGGCAGACTCATTTTTCCTGCCTTGACGTTCTTCTGGGCCATTTTATGGACCGTCAAGCTTGGGCTGCTTTTTCTCTACAGGAAATTGACTGTTGGGCTACCCAGAGTGTACAATCGGATGTGGTGGTTTCTTGTCGTTCTCTGGGCTGTCGTGAGTTCCCCTCAATATTCTGACAGGGTGACCACTGTGTGCTGACAGGACAAACAGTCACTCGTTGGAAACTATGTAGCTTTCCTCACAACCTGCGTATCACTGGACAGCTTTTTCGATGGGTCTAGAGGTTGCAACAACAAAGTCAGGCAGTTCGTCAGCATCTGGTACTCATTCGGTGCGGATACGATCACCAATATTATGCGTAAGCACCCTCCACATCAAGTCGCCCGCCTCGAAATCGCTACTGACCATCCCTAGTCATCGCATTTCCTTTGCATCTCACGTGGAACCTTCAGATGCCGCGCACGCAGAAAACTGCCATCATGGTCTTATTTGCCAGTGGAGTCTTTTGCATCTTGATCGCCACTCTACGCGCTGCCAATGTCACTGCACAGACTATCAGGACTGGCAAGACGATGGATGGTACATGGCTTGCAGTATGGAGTATGGCCGAGACAGCTGTTGGTAAGTCTCCCATAGGTCTTTAAGCTTGATCCGCTCCGTTAGTTTAGTCGCTCAATACTGACACATGTAAGCCGTTTTTGATCGGGCTTTGCCCCTCCTTTGCCGTCCTCATCAACGCGAACCGCAGAACGACTCACGAAGTCCGTGGATGGAGCTCCAATCTGCGCACCATGGGCAGTGCTTCAACACGTCCCAAACCCAAGGCACCGACTGAGTTGGATACGTTTTGGACAAACATACACGGCAGTGAGGAAGAGCTAGCAGGGAAACAAGATAGTGCCTCTCTCACTACGACAGTCGACCAAAGTGAAGAGGGCCTGGGCATGGCTAGATGAGTGCGTAAAATGACATGAGAACGATGAAAATGTGAGACAGTAGTAACTGGTGCAAGTGCAGGGTATCACGCCGACTTGTCATGGCCCACGGCGTGTACAACGTGTCGAACTCGCGTGAAGGTACATGTAACGACTATGCATGACATCTACGTTATGTTTCATACTCTACTGCCGCACTACAAATTCGTATGTGTAATCACATGAGTCTAGGTTCTCTTCATCGATCGTTGCGAATAAGCTCTACGTCTCTTTCACTATGTTGAAAAGAGAAGCCAGTTTGGCGCTGGTGAGCCACATTCACTTCGTCTCTGAGGTCCACACTTAGCTTGTTTGGTGTATCACGGGTTCTAGCGCACTCCGCGAACTGCGAGTGACGCCGACTTCTCTACAATAGCCAAGCTCTTTTCGTTCGCGTTTGCGATACAACCTAACGTGCTCTGGTCTCAACCACCCCTTCCATAACCTCTCCAAGCACCTCTCTAAAAATTTGCGGCTGTTCTCTCAGCGCATCTAATTCTCCACGCTAACACATCTCAGGACATTACCTCACGCAACTGTGAGACTTTCGGTCAGCCGAAAAGATGAGCGGCAATCAGGACTACATATCGCCAAACGAGCACCTCCAGCAGTCCCTCCAGAACACTTCCGCATTCGAGGTGTTGGGCCACTTCTGCGGCATACCCGCTGTCGGCTCCCCCCAACGACTCAATGAGGCCGCCGTCGTCTGCATCGACGCAGAGTGGTGGCAGAAAGAGCCCAAACCCACCACCGAGCTCGGAATCGCTGAGCTCATGCAGAAGGGACTAACCCCGACCATCCACGCCGAAAACATCCTCTCTAGCATCCAAGCCGCGCACGCCCGCATCATCGAAAACGCCCACCTCATCAACAGATTTCCCGGCGCTGGAGACCCCGAGAACTTCCTGTTCGGCAAGACTAAGTTCGTCACCATGGACGAGGTGAAACAGGTACTCATCAACACGTTCGTGCGACCGCGGGAGTATGGAGACGGGTCTGATTTGCAGCCTATCATATTGGTTGGTCACGCGGTAGAGAATGAATTCGAACACATGCAGCGCGCTTTCGGAGTCGACCTGCTGAGCTACGGTACTATCGTCAAAGTCATCGACACGCAGCTCATGGCGCAAGAGCTGGGCATCAAGACACCACGCGGACCGTTCATCGGACTCAAAGATCTCCTCGCTCACTTCAACATGGTTGTACCCAACCTCCACACCGCTGGCAACGACGCAGCCGCCACGCTCATGGCCGCCGTCTTACTCACCCTAAAGCCGTGGATGTACCCCGACGTCCCCGGCTCGCCACCCGCCGTCGTCCAGGGCCGTAGTATGTCAGAAGTGGTGGCTGGAGTCATGCAGATGGGACAGTCGCTGTCGCCACCACCATGGGGAGAGCTGGTGTACTGCATTCGGTGCGATCACAAGAGTCATATCGCAAAGTACTGTCACACGGCTCTAATCTGTCAGATCTGCAGCAATTCGGGCGTCAAGAGGTTGTTTGGTGCGCGGAACACACATAAGACTACCAGGTGTATGTATCAGTACTTGCCGATACCGCCAAGGGACTACGGTTTCGGTGGACAGTAGATTGGCGAGGGTTTCCGGACGGAGAGGAGAGGAGACGGCAAGGAACGTGGGAATCTGAAAGGACTATCGGTAGAACACCCAGGTAGCTATGCAGCTACGAATGAAATCATCACACTAGCGTACAAGCCAAACCCCGCCTCATACAATAGAAAAGCTGAACACCATGGAGCCTACATTAACCTTTGGCCATCTACTATGCATGTTTTCATCTTGATGTAGGCTCCACATCGACCACAGCTTTTTCCACTTCTGCCTTCATCACCGCTACATGAATCAACGACTCATTGTGACACTGACGAGCTTCGTATAGCTGCCCTCACACCTCTCCGCCCCATCTGATCAACGAGGCCCAAACGCACACGACCCCTCCATATGCGTCCCAGCATTCTTCCTCCTCCACTCCTGAACTGCACATTCACACCTCCTACACTTCAGATCCGTATTGTGACACTCCAAAAACCCATGCTCACCACTCCCACACCTCCAGCAAAACACTTCCACGCCAACAGGCGGCGCCGGCGTGGGCCAGTTCATCAAGCTCTGCACCACGAACATCGCAGACTTGGAACTTGACTGGCCCACCCGCCCCGGCTTTGCCTTCGCATTCTGTAGAGACCCATAGAGCTCGAAGCGGAGGGTTGAGAGGATAGCGACGATGGTGGCGTACATGGCTGCGTTGCCGCTGTTATCGGAGTGATATACCGGGACGCTGAACTGTCTGAGGAGGTATGCGAAGTCGGCGTCTGCGTGGCGGGTAATCTTCGACTGCTGGGGTATGATTTGCGCATCAAGACTCGCTACCGTGGTATCCAGAAGGGTTGGGTCGAAGTCGAACGCCGTCTTGCGTACCCTGCTGATGCTACAGTTGGAGCCAAAGAACATGTATATGATGGGTCGGTAGCCTGCATCCTCATTCTGCTCGTCCATGGGCTGGCGCCAGATCTGCTGGAGTAGGGAGAGAGCTTCTTCTTGGGAGACATAGACCGTGGTGCCGAAGTGGAAGGGGTCGAGACCGGTGTCTGTAGAGTCTAGGTGCGCAGTGGAGCGGATGACAAGGTGTAGACACCATACTTTGCGTAGCAGGTCTTCTGCGTGCGGGCCAGCCATGATAGGCTGCCCTTGATTGATGCTAGATCGGTCGTAGGTGGTAACTCCTAGCTCGATGAGGCGATACGGTGGGTGAGCTGACCATTTGCGGTGAAGGACGACGAGGACAGCGTCGCAAAGTAGGTTGGGGGCAGTTGTCGACCTTCCGAGATATTTGTGCAGGACGTCTTTATCTGGAAGCTGGGCCAAGACGCCGCGGAGTGTTACTAGCTTTTTTGACGTGGATTTTGACATGGCCTTTGAGATGCGCGATGTTGATGGGTATCGAAAACTGAGCAGCAGGAAATCTGTGTAGGTGACATTTGCGTCTGCTTGACGCGGCGCTTTGCGACGAGTCTAGTGCCATTGAAAATGAAGGTGAAGGTGAAAGTAGATGTGAAGATGAGACTGAGCTCGACTTACTACCTATTCTTCGCGGTCTACTGCTGCTCAGCATAGCACGTCGACCATTCCCGTTGCCTTCGATTGCGATCATGCCGTCATTGGGCCATTAAGAGCGTAGCTGATCCAAGCCCGAGCACATTCTCGATTCTTATGTATAGTGAAAGCGTATGAACTTTGCGTCTCGTTGTAAGTTGATTGCACATGCCCTCATACCTAGGTAGCTTGTGGCATTATTTGTTCTGGACCTAATCATCCACACGTCTGCGTGACGTAAAACAAACTGTGACATCAGATAGCAAGTATTAGGTCATAACAATTCATTCGTGTGAATGTGGTTTCACCGCTATGATGGGTTCTTTCGTAGAGGCGACCTCGATGCTTTCTCCCACGGATGAGAGGGGGGAAATTTCGGCTGCATGCTAGCCGGTAGCGCAGCCGCTACCCCGCATAGAGTCTAGCTTGATGTCCTCCCCGGGCCCAGTCCCACATGCAGCGCGTCCCCGTCATAGCTCCGCGAACCCTCAGAATCTGATGTCTCCAGCCTCATCATCGTTCATTGTCAAGATAGCCCGCCCACCGGACCACCAATATGTCGTCAGCGCCGCCCAGAACCGTGATTGATCTTCCGATCGAACTTATCGAGATGATCGGAATGAAGCTCATTGAAGATTCCCCACACAACGATTCGGTCGTACCAGTCATACCGCGATTACTGGTGCAGAGTCGCCAGGCAGTGTACAACTCCCGTTTAGCATGTCGGGTTTTCAACAACGCTTTTGAAAAAGTGTTTCTAGAAATCATACATGACATGCCCTTCCAATGCACCCAGGAGCATCTTGGCCGCTTGACGCGGTTATTGCAACTTCCCTGGGTATCGCAATCGTTCAAACAGTTGACTATCGGTGGTGCCAAGATAGCCAAACATCGCACACAATGCGCCCGGACTGACTGGATACGAGGACACCTGATGGACACGTTCGAGACAATTTTGAGCCTTGCGCCTCGTTTAGAAAGTATCAGATGTGTTCCAATTTGCGAGTACTATGCGCCACACGATCCTCGGGGCGCTGCCGAGGACGACTCGGATGATGATGAAACACCCCGGCAACTCCCATCATATATACGCTCCTTTCCCTTCATAGACGTCTTTGGAGTAGGTTGAAGCACTCAAAACTTTCATCAACGACCCCGAAAGAAAGGCTGACAAGTCATCATAGCAACTTTACGCAGCAATACATGAAAGCGGACACGCGAAGGCCATGCGGTCTCTTTTGTTGAGATTCGACTACCAGGAAACACACAAAATGGAAGCGCCGTATAAGATCTCAGATCGCCGTGCAATACAGATCCACTCGTTTCTTAAGAAGCCATTGCCTCATCTCCAACACCTCATCCTCGACTTGGGATGTCTATCAGGGGCTAGATGCATTTATAGTTCGAGCCATATGCCAGCCCTCGAGTCTTTGACGATCATATATACCAAGGACATCTGGCTGTGGGAAAACATGGCTCTTTTGGCAAAGACGCAACCTCGACGGCTCGTGCTCACCAGCTACACATACGTGCCGGTCGAGAACGTTTCTTCTTTTATCGGTGCATTCAGTCACCGGCAGGGCCCACTACCGTGCTTAGAGTTGCGTGACATGGATGTCAAGTTGGATTACCATCGTTACGAAAAGCCACCACTGCCAACACCCGAAGAGTTCTCGGAGGACTTCCGTATTGCAGAATTGAAGATTGCGAACGTGTCGTGGTATCGGCATGTGTCCAAGCGTCGCAAGTCAGAGCGCCGTGGCTGGTGCAGGACGGGTTGGGATTTGTTTGGTCCAATTTGTGATGCGGCAGATGTTGTACGTGTGAGCGTACGTGACGGGGCGGAGCGTTATAAAGAGGACTTTTTTGAACGACCAGTAAGAGATTTGGATATTGATGGTAATAGCATCACTGGTGAGACCGATTCAGATCGCAGCACCACCGAAGACGGAATCGAATATGACAGCGATTCCACAAACGAAGACGAAGACAAGAACGAGAATGGGGACAAGGATGAGGACGAGGATGAAGATGAGGACAACGACGAGGACGGAGACGGAGACGGTAACGGAGACCGAGTCGTTGGCGAGGTGGCTTGGTCACGGGCTGATATGGCGCTACGTCGAAGCTATGCGACGGCTAGTTGGTCCTATAGGGGTGACTAAGTCTGACCCAGTTCGGTGAAAGCTTCAACCTCCGCCAGGCTTCTTCAGCGCACCACCAAGAATACTCGGATCAAGCATCTTGGCTTCAGGCACGTCGACACCACATCGCACCCACATGCTGCTCCAAAGCGCACCAACTGCTCTTTCTTCGGGCATGAAAACGACCGTATTCACGTACGATCGTGTCGTGTTATAGCAGTCTGGCATGTTGAAGAGTTGCGCCTCGCAGTTGTCGCCTTTGTTCGAATAAAACACGCCGCATCGCGCTTCGCTTGGGAGAGTGATGCATGTGCCGTTCTTCCATGTTTCAAGGGGCGGTGGGAAATAGGTCTTCTGCAGGAGTTCGCCGCGGCAGTGCTTAGGGCCGCCTGCACCGGAGTATGTGAGAGCGAGAATCGGTATTTGTGGAGTGGTTGGCGGTCGAGGCTTAAGCGCGACGGACGGTTTTGGTGTAGCAATAGGCCCCAAGACACCTTCAGCACTCCAACTCGCGCTCGTTTGTGGTTCAGGTGTGAAGCCAATCATCCCGTCCTGGGTTTCGGTCATCGTTGTGGGTACGAGCGTCGCGCCAGACACGATGCTACTGCCGTTGTACACATCGCCACGGTCGAAGTCTGTGCCGTTCAACAGCGCCTTCGCCGCGACGATATCATCGCCATCCCCGACTCTTGCAGCTTGCGCGAGGTTGATCTGTATGACTGGTGTGGTTGGTGCGCGTACTTCGATGGCGGTCGCTAGCGAGATTGCGATGAAGAGGAGGAGGGAGACGGACGATGCGATGAGGATGATGCGCCGCGGTATGGACGACATAGCGGTGGTATTACATTACTTTTGGAGATTTGGGAGGTTGAAGGGGTATGCGACAATGTCGAAGTTCGTGGGCGACGCCAAGGAAGTGTCGGGGGTTGCTACACTACGCGTTTCATCCCCACGTCTTCTCCAGACATCGTCGCAGGCATGCAGGCAACCTCACCATGCTTCCCTGGCAGCTGTGTACACATTCCTTACCACTACTACATTCGGATGTATGATATTGTGTGAGTTCGCAATCTCGATATAGCAGCGGCTTAGACCGATATTTGTAGGTTCAGTCACAGGTCCGTCCCTTGACCCTACTACAGCTCGGTATCAGCCGTTATGGGCTATTGCTTATACTGCACACCTCAATTACATATGGGCTCTCCATTGTCATGTAGCGAAAGCTGCACTAACGATTCGATATTGTCGTTACAATGAAAAGGATAACGGCCGTCTTCCACTCCACGACAAAGCGATAGATTCACTAGAATGACAGCCATTGGTCTAAGCTCATGACAATACTTCTAGGTTGTGACGCGTATACACAGACTACTGGGTACTAATCTCCTGATCACTCGCTGTTGCCTAAGCACTGGTCAGTCCCCTGAGCGATTTACATCTCGATTAATTCCTGTCGATCATACTCAACCACCCTCAACCCGGAGATTCGTCTGCCTTAGACCATTACCCTCGATATCGACGATTAACCTACGCCAAACTCATATACCTCTCGATGAAAGTAGGTGCAGACGAGACCCCGTCCTCGATTCCAGACATGGCTGCCGAGCTCGTAGACGCAAACCGACGAGCGCTAGCGTTAGCCCTTAAGAAAACTGACGCCAACAATTCGAACACATCTGCCGCTCGACTTGAGATGATGAAGGCCGAGTCTAGATTTCGTTCGCTGAAGCGTCATGGAAGGGCCTTGCGTTATGAAGAGGCTACTGCTGCTAAACAATACGGCCAGTCTTGGTGTCAAAGCCTGTCTCAAAGTCTATCTGATAAGCTCCCTCGCGAGTTGCGAGATATGATCTACGATCACCTTCTCCCTCATTCAGCAGAAGTGTCACTCCTGGGTCAGGATTGGCGCGTTTCCTCCGGCCCTAGATGGACGTTCAGCTCGTGGAACGACAGTGAACTCGATCCCATCCCTCATTATCTAAGGAGTGAGTTTATGGGCACTTCGTTCCAGAAAGAGATCATGGAGGAACTCCACAGACACGCACAATTCCGTACCTACCACCCAAACGATGTGGAAGAGTTTCTGGAATATGGTCTGCCGCTAGCATCACTTCCGGTCCGGGCTTTCGACTTCGTTCGCTCACTCACTGTGCTGCTATCCTTCCAAGCCCATCAGGACGTCGACAAACTCAGGTGGCGCAGAACGGGACAGTACGATCTTAGGCGCAACTCTGGAGGAGATCGTCAGAACTTGGAATCTGTCGCTACCAATCATACCTCCGAGAAAAAGGTCAAAGTACTTGCTGTCATCGCCAAAATCAAGCAATTAAACAAGCTCGAACTGCATATCTTGATTCGCACCTGGACGCCTACAGGAGCGAGAGGCTTTGAACGAGCTCTGGTTCCTTTTGTGCACGATCTGCAAGACCGCGGAGTGAAGGTTGACGGGGAAGTTCAGCCATATCGACGTGATTCCCGTCGTAACACTGAGATGTACTCTGGCTGGAAATGTGACTTTACCCGTCCGGGGTCGCGCTAGAAAAGCCACCGACTCAAGACTGGTACTTTCGTAAGTTACTAGCCTCATGGACATCTTGCATGTGCTTATCATCAAAAAGAACCGATTTCTACACGTTGAACCTGTCGATGCAGTCGAAGCTAAATGTGCTAGTGAGATCTCGTGTTCTCTAGAATTTCTCTTCCTATCGCTCCGGCTTCTCAATACAACAATGTAGTCTCCAAGCAGAAGTGTATCGTGAGATAGCTCCAGGAGTGTTGTCGTGCTATGTCACCGTGTAGTGTATTAACGCGCTCATGGATATATGCTCTCGTACAAGAGATGTTCTCACACATCGGACCAGCGATACAGGGCATCTTTGACACCTTAAACAAGAATTATTTCGATTGCTACAGCATTCGTTCTGGTGCGTGATTCCCTTGCTGGAAACACTGCATCGTTCGGCGCCCATTCACGAAGTCGTTGTGAAACCGAAAGTGATATTTGAGCAAAGACTAAGATCATACAAGGATGCGAAGCCGTGCGCGACCCTAGCACCATGTGGTACACGGTGATGCTACATTCCTCTAGTCTCGCTGACTTCTTCTAGGCTGCACCACACTGCACGTAGAAACACGTGCGCGTGTAGCGCTCATACCTCGTGTCTTCTAGATCTACTATGCGCGCTTGGGGAAATAGGTTTCTAGAGTAAATATGCAAGGGGGACTTTCGAAAGGAGCGGCGATAGCAGCTTCGACCTGGCCTGCTGGCAGCAACATGCTCCGATCATAGGTAACCGTTTCCGTATCCCTCGGCTGGGGGTAAACGTTTTTGCCCCGATTTTCGTACGAAACAACGCCCTTGCAATCCTTTTCGACAAGCGTTTGGATGTGCGGGAGCAGCACAGCTTTGTATCTGTAAATCGCAACCTTCGTCCGCACAATGACATTAAGCGTGACGCTCATTCTGGAAACTTGTGCTGTTGCGGCGAGATCGCCAAGCCAACTCACCTAGCTCTCGAAGGTTTCCTTCTTTAAATTGCCCTCTGCTGTCATGTGGCGAGCTATCACATAGCCCCGGGGACGTTGAGAAAACTCCACATAGTCCCGGCCAGGTGGGATCAAATGGTCGGGGATGGATATGTCGACTGAAAGCATTCGGAGGAAGTCGAGGGGTCGGCAGAGCGCATCTCTGAAAGGGCAAGCGCCAAGTAGAAAGGGAACATCATCGACGTGCCAGACATTGTAGGAGGCGTACGTATTAAACTATTCCGCGAGTTCGACCACAAACTCCTTTCCCATGTACTTCTCCCTGAAGAAGTGCTCAAATTTGTTGTCAAGGCCGCGAGCCTGGCCGCGACGGTCACTGTGGTCAATGTGGAAGTAGTACTTGTTCCCTTCGTTATCGGGCAGGTCTTTCTCGCGTTGAATGATGCTGACATCTGGAGCGCCACCCATGAGATGGAAGTAAACCATGTCTCGCACTTCGCGGGCAGAGAGACGTTCGAACATCTCGGCGGCGAACTGGCGGTTCAATATGCAGGTGTAGTCATCAGTTGACTTGCCGAAGTTGCTTGAAGGAAATACAACGTCAGTGATCAATTTGTGGTGTGCTGGAGTCTCGCACTTACGTAGCCAAGCTTCGCTTCTTGTGCTGAAGTGTGCTTCGCGTGCTTTGAAGTGCACGCAGCTTAGTCTCAAGCTCTTCGATCTCTTTGTCATTCACACTATTCCTACAATAGCTTCGTGAGCATCTGGAGAATGACGATAGATGATTCGCCTACATCTCTTGATTATCCCTTCGCTTCTGTATAATGCTGCGCAGTCGTGAGTTACTGGAATGCTGCTTGTGCGCACGTCTGCGACGACTTACAATGAGATTGCCTTAGCCTTAGTCTTGAGTGGATTTCGAGGGGCCATTTTGGAGGTCTCGCGTTATTCGTGGTATGGCGGTAGCGATTGGAGTGGAAGAGGTAGTTCAAGCGCTTTAAGTTGAGCTATATAGGGCTATCGCGATGTACAGTTACATGTGCTTAGTTGGTAACGTGATAAGTCGCGAGCTAAGTAGGCGCGCGAGGACCGTGACCTAGGCAAACACTAGGCTTGACGTACGTGCTCGCGTCGTGAATGAGTGTACTAGGCTGAGTAGAATGAAGCAGCCCAGTGGCCATCAGATGGAAGTGCATAGCGGCATAGGAACGACAAAAGACTGTCTTCAAATCAATCTATCCGGTGGTAATCTGACGAAACAACACTCCACTGACAGATTGTGCTTTCAACCCTCTTCAAGAATCCCCACCCCCAGCCTTCTCCTTCGCCTTATCCAAATCCAACGGCACCCTAACAACAATCTTACCCCTCGCCCTCCCCGTCTTCAACTTCTCAAACGCCTTAGGCGCATCCTCCCACTCAAACACCTCATCAACGACAGACTTGACCTTCCCCTCCTTCATCCATCCACCGATCTGACCCAGCGCATCCGACGACGGCTTCGCCATCAACAACTGATAGCTGTTCTTGCCGCCGCCCAAAAACCCGGGTAACAGCATATTGGACCCCACATTCTTGATGCTAGCAACGCTCATCCCCGCGCCGATTTGGACAAACTTGCCGGCTGGAGTGAGGAAAGCGGATGCGGCTTTGTAGAGGTTGGGTGGTGTGCCGATGTTGTCGACGACGAGGGTGTAGGTCTGGCCTTTGGACGAGAGTGTTTCGATTACATCGCTGGTTTTGTAGTCGATGACTTCGTCGGCGCCTAGGCTCTTGCAGAGGTCGACGTTGGGGGTTGAGCAGGTGGTCGTCACGTGGCACCCCAGCGCTTTCGCGATTTGGATGCCGTACACACCTGTTCCGCCTGAGCCGCCGTTGATGAAGACTTTGTCGCCGCTCTTGACGTTTGGCGCGATGGCTTGGTATCTGGAGATGGGGTTAGCATGGCTTTCAGCTTCTTGTGTAGCCTGCAGGGCCTTACTCAGTCAGCCCCACGATGCCGACGCCTGCTGCGTCTTCGACCTTCACGCCTTCTGGTAGCCTTGCCAACATTTGTCTATCCACGGCTACGTATTGCGCCATGCTTCCTCCCGTCAGCGCACCGACTTTAGCGCCAAAGACGAATTCGCCAATCTGGTACTCGTCGACTTTCTTGCCTACTTTGGCGACCTTGCCGCAAAAGTCGGCACCGGGGGTGATGTCGGAGCCTACAAGCCGCAGAGGCATTGGGCCTTCAGTGACTTTGTGGTCGACGGGGTTGATCGCCATGGCGTGAACTTGGACCAGAATCTGCTCATCATGAAGCACTGGTTGTGGCGCGGCCTCATTGATCTGGAGGTTCTTCTCGATGCCGCCTTTGGTGCTGTTGTACTGCCAGGCTCTCATCGTGGACGTCATATTGCTGTTTGATCGTAACGGAGCTTGTCGCGATAAATTTCCGATAGATTTGATGCCGCCGATGCGCGCTGTCCTTGTTATCTTATAGCGTGGAAACAGGCATGCGTCATGACGATTTGCGTTGAGCGGGGCAAGCGCCACCACCGCCTGTCAGCACGAGCTTTGTGAGTAGACACCCATCTATCGGAGCTCCATTCAGGCGACCGAAGAGATCGCGCAGATGGAGCCTGGGTAGGACACCTACATCGTGGAATCCATTCAGGTGGGTATGCCTCCTTGCCCAATGGGGTGGCTTATTGGCGCTCGGTCGATCAAGGGGCATGCCCACATTGTCACCTAGCCCGATCAGGCGCAATCTGCGCAGCGGCAGCAGGCTCATCATGAGTTCTGGGAAGAGATCAATATCAAGATATGGGATATGAGCGAGATCATTGTTTGTGTCACGATGAGGTTTTCAATTGATCTGTCCTGCACATCGATGTGGAACTGGAGGCCTAACAGCCGCAGCTCAGGCCGCCCTTTCGCCCTGCATGAAGCCTCTTACGCGTATGTGACAAACATCTGCTCAAAGCTAGTTACGTTCCAGACCCCAGTAACGGTGTTGAGCGTCAGGTTAGTTGGGGCTGTGGGACCACGTTGAAGCGCCCCACTCTCGACATGACCGCCTGCAGCGACTACAGTTCCGTTCGTCCTCTCTAGATGGTTGGCACCAACCTTGACGGTGAAGTTCGCAAGGCTGATATCGAAGGGGTTGCGAGATGCGACGGATGGAGAGCCTAGACACCGTCAGCATGTGAAGCATGGTAAAGGTTATCATGTATCGACTTACCGTAGTACTGCGCATTGAGCTCCTCAGGAGAGATGAACAGCTCGTAGTACCCTCTGTAGTAGCCTTCAGTCCACTGAAGCTCCCGGTTATCACGCACGAGCGCTGCTGATCGGTCACTTGAATTCGCAATAGACCTACCAGCGCCATAACCGCTGGATGAAACGGCCGTGCCAGCGAACTCGACGCCGATGGCACCAGCACCAGTCGCCTGGTCGTATGGGGTCTCGTCGAGCCAGACAAGATCAGACACCCAGTTGGCATGAGAATCGCCAGCCAAGAAGGCAGTGTTCGGGATCTCGTTGCTGTAAAGGTGATGAAGAGTGCGGTTGCGGTTGGCGGTGTACCCGTCCCACTGATCGGCGTTCAGCTCGTTGCTGTACACTGCGCTGTTATTCATTCGGGAGAAGATGATCTGGTTACCGATGATCCTCCAGGTAGCACCGCGTTCATGCGACTCGGATAGCTGGTTGTAGAACCAGTTTTCCTGGCGGCTACCCATGAGCGAGCGGCCAGCATCGTCCTTGAGATCCTCGATGTATTCGTCGTTCCAGTTGAGGGTTGTGATAGATCGATCGTAGTTGCGAGTGTCGAGCATGATCAGGTCGAAGAGTTTGCCCATCTTGAAGTTGCGCCAGATGCGGAGATTGTCATCCATGTCGACCTGGCGAATGCTGCGGTCGTTATTAGCGACATCAGGGACGGTCAAAGCGAAACACGTACGGCATCCACTCGAAGTAGGCGCGAACAGCGTTCATCTTCCTGGAATCAACGCTCACTCCTCCGAACTTCTTGAAGCTTTGTTCAGTGTTGTTCATGCCGCTAAAGCCATCGCGATAACCGTTGTTTGCAACCTCTATCCATCCGTTAGTTGAGTAGAGGGGTGTCATGCCAAGCAACATACCATGATCATCCCATGTTGGAATCCAAGCAAAGTTCTGGTGAGCAAGGCGAAGGTCGTCATCAGTGCGATACTGACCAATCCTCGTTCGGTAGTCTTTGAGACGAATTAGTAGCTGTCAGATCCAATGATCAGCTGCTTACGAACCGTAAAGTGTGATGATCTCCCGCGACGGATTCGTGGCGCGCGGGTCTTGGCCGAGCTTGCCCTTGGTGGACTCATAGATGTAATCACCAAGATGAACCTTCATCTCCAGGTTAGCAGTGTCACAAATGCGCGTAATCATCATACTTACGAAGAAGTCAACTTGATCTTTCCTAGCAGCATTGCCGTACGCGTTGAAGTAGCCATTCTGCCAGTTGGAACAGGAGAAGATAGCAAGACCAACTTTGGAAACATCGTCGTCTTCGTCGGGGCTGGTCTTGGTCCTGCCGAGTGGGCTCTTGTTGGAGCTACCACAAACGTTGAACTGGTAGTAGTACTGGGTGAATGGGGACAGGTTCTTCGCTTCAATCTTCTCAAAGTTAGCTTATCACCCGACATACCCGCCGTTTAGATCTTACCTTGACGGTGAAGTCGATGTCGGAAGTGGTGTATGCTTGGCCTTGATCGACGATGCTGGAGAAGTTGCCGTCGGTACCAACGCGGTAGTCCACGCAAATGGGGTTTGGTGAGGCCTTGATGTACTTCTCCGTCTCATGGTTGTAGAAAGCTACATTACCCGTAACAGTCACGTTCGATCTGTCGTTCTCGAGAGATGGCGCAATGCGTGTCCAGAGAATGACTGAGTCGGGATAAGGATCTCCAGAGGCGACGCCGTGCGTGAAGCTTAGCTGGGCCGGATCCCACGGAGTCGCCCGCTTAATGAGGCTTCTCTTCGCGACCTTCGGCACATCGATGCCAAGGCCTTCGTGTCGGCGAGAAGGCGAGTGGTAGTTCAGGTTGCCATCGAAAGATGCACACACGAGCGAGGCTAGAGGCGCCGCTGCAAGAAGGATTGAAAGCATTGCGGAAGATGATCAAGCTTCGGTGACTCTCTCCCTTACTTTCCAAAGTTCCGAGACTTCAGAAAGCTTAAATACCTCCATCGCCTTTCGACGTGCCGTCCTTCGCGTACAATTTCATCGCCTTCGTACTACTCCGGCCGCCAACATTACCGCATCGTGCATTCAGTACAGTTCTGACAGCAGCTGTGGCCAATCGCATAGAGTGCATTGTAAGTGTGTAAAAGAGTGCCTGTTGATCGTCAACCGCGACATATGCACGATGCGCATGTGCCGGGAGGATGAGCTGAGATTGGCCGAGCGCGACTTCATCCCGCTGGACAGGCTAGCCCGTTGTGGGGATATGCAGCGCGTCGAACGTCGTTGATCCTGGCATGACATACAGTGCGTGAGGAGTCAACGCGACGATGCGGAACTGTAAGGTGCAGTTTTTGGGGTGACAGGAGAAGAGGGGTGGAGGGTTACTTGGCTTTCCAGCTCCCAGTCGGCGGAAAGAGATGGCGCTAAGATTAGAAGGGTTTAGCGCCAACCGCGCCGCATGCCCAGGTGCTAACCCTGGAGAACTCCATCGTCCATTCCTTCGACATCCACCTCGTCTAGCTTTCCGAAGAACTCCTGGGTCTCTCTCTCATTCCTGACCTACACTTGCTGTACGTACGAGTTGCAGTGCGGATCTTGCCTTTCTTTCGATGCCCAATTCTCCGCTTCTAAAGCGCTTGCTTGCTTCTCTATCTTGATTCAACCAATCATTGCATCGTTCACACCCCGCCGTACACGTTCCTGTGTTATCCACGTTGCATCGTCGGAACTGCCATTCGCGCAAGAGCTATCACGCTATCGCTGATGTCTTTGTATCTATGCCGACCACGAAATGTTCAATCACGGAACATTACTGCTGCGTGGGAAGCCCCCCGGCTTGCCTAGACCCTTCACGCTATGCAATGCGGTACCGCTTCATAAAAGTACCAGTCCCTGTCTTCCTCCTGGAGTTCGAATGAAACACACCATCTTCTCCAGGGAGGTGTATCAGCCTTTACCCTTTTCCAACCGGCGTGAGCTCCGGGACTATTACATTACGAAAGAAATGAAGACCAGAACAATCAACATCTCCGGACCCAAATTTGCCATTGAGCAGGATTATCGGCAATTGTTAGAGGATCATGGGTTGAACCCGGGGATGATTCTATCGACCTATCGCTGGAATAGGTTCATTAGGTCTCACACGGTTTATGCAGTCATGCCTACTGTGGAGGATGTGGCCCGAGCTGTCGTAAATGTCCAAGGTGCACTCCTATTTGACACCAAAGTCCGCGTTCGACTACCCTATCCTGATGAAGGATTATTCTCCAAAGTACCTCAAATCGAGTGGGGCTGGTATGCTATGAATGGGCCAGGCATCGAGAATATACGGTTGCGTGCACCTTTGCTGTCTCCACCGGTCGATATATTTAGGCCGATCAAGGAGGGTGCGTTCTGCCTCCGTTGTGAAAGCAAATAAACGTTGACTTATCTGGTTCAGCCCGCCAGGTACTTGTGAAAAGTTGTCAGGACGTAAAGGTCCGGGACTTGCGACTAGAAATTTATAACCCGTTCCACTCTTTTGATGTGGACGTCTTTGAGATGAGCAGATTAAAATCTGGGCAATGGTTTATAGTTCTCAATTTCGTTAATGCTGAGCAAGCAGAGATTGCTCGAACGACGTACAGCACGTGTACGTTACCGAGCGGTAATCGAATCAAGTGTATGTCTACGAGGGTGCCGAAGCACTTCTTAAAAGATATGCCTTGGGCATTCAGTCGGAGTGAAGGGTTCGTTGTTCACCCGCACAGTTTTGGCCGCGATACTAATGGTGTCTTCACCAGGCGTGAGTCCCACTCCGAACGAGGTCTCGTCACGGGCAAAAACCTCGAGCATGTAAGCCATCATCCTTTTACTGTCGCCACTCTTCAATACAGCGAAGTGGACATTGCTAACCCAAACGATAGCTGCAAGAGGATGTGTTTCACAAGTGGTTGTTGGGCAAGAACGATCGAGGTCTCTGGGTTCCTGGGTATGATTCATGACAGTACAGCTGACTTATCCGTGACTAATGGCTGCAACAGGCACAAATATTAGACAAGAATTTATATGATCTCCATAAAGATAACACATCCCATCTAATCAACCTTATAAACAAGCTTAACACCCGAAACCTTGCCATCCTTCAAATCCTGCAACCCCTGCGGCACACCCTCCAACCCACTCCTCACCTCAATCGGATGTGTCTTCAGCTTACCCTCGCCAAACCACTCCTCAGCCTGCTTCCAGAACCTAGCGCCAAACTCGTAATCCTCTTGACTAGCGCCAACCTTCTCGCTGTACGCTTCACCCAGCGCCGTGTAGGCAAACGTGAACTTGGTCTTCACATCGCTCCTCGGGTAGTTGTTCACGGGCAGAAGAGCAGACATGTGACCGCCGGTTGAACTAATAGCCGCAGCTGTGATGTCGAATGAGTTTCCTTCGGCGATGCAGTCGAAAGCCAGTTTGAGCTTGTCGTTGGTAGCTTCGCGGATCTTAGCGCCTACATCAGCGTCTTTGTAGTTGAAGACTTGGTCGGCGCCTAGTTTGCGGAGGAGATCGAAGTTGTGCGGTGAGGATGTTGCGATGACTTCGCAGCCTGTGTGCTTTGCGTATTGAATGGCGAGGGTGCCTGTTGCGGTGGAGCCGCCGTAGATGAGAACAGGGGTTGGTGATTGGACCTTTGCAGGTGGGAAGGGTAGGCCGAGTTCTTGGTAGAGGCCTTGAGCTACGGTTGTGATGCCAACGCCTAGAGTGGCGGCATCTTCGAAGGACATGTTGGAGGGGATCTTTAGATTGATTCCGGTCTTGGCTTTGACGTGCTCGGCGAAGGCGCCGTTGGAGTGGTCGGCTGGGTCACCTGGGATGTGTCAACATGCAGTCCTCAGGATGTACAAATGGTATTCGTACCTCCGCGAACAAATCCAGCAATGCGGTCTCCAACCTTGTAGTGTGTTGCATCCTTGCCAACTTCCTCAACTTCACCAGCATAATCGCATCCAGCAATAGCACCCGGCGCCGCAGCCCTATCGATGTTCTTCCAATCCGTTGGGTTTAGTGCTACAGCCTTGGTCTTGACAAGCAGCCAGTTCTCAGCCGGAAGCTTAGGAATAGGGACGTCATTGCGCAGTTCAGATACGCCTGGAGAGACGTGAACTACTGCTCTTTGCGTAGACATGTTGCGAATGTGAAAGGATCTTGGGAGTCTGGTATGCAAGTTTCGGAATTCGGTGAGATGGGTGAAGATTGTTTTCATCGTTTATAAAACTAGACTGATTGAGATCCATTTCTGCTATGATGCAAGATGTACTAGTGGATTTGTAATGGGAGGGGACTACCGCGTCATGCAGCCTTCTTTAGGACTACCCGTGGACGGGCGGAGCGGAGTATGTTCGGCGAATTCTGTGGAGCATGCTGAGTATACTGGAAGGACAGTGAATGTCGATTACTTGTAGTGTGTCGTGACATGACATGCTATGGCCCGGTATGGCATGACATTTGACACAATATGTGTGTGGTGAGTGCCGTTGTAGCAGTCGCTGACAGGAGTGTGACCTCGGGATGGTCCAAGCTCGGACTGCGCTAACTTTGGTGCAAGGGTCCAGCATCGCGACAGCTCCACGCGTAGCTTTCCTACTCTAACCCCAGCGCATACAATCGTCCTGAAGCCTGCCGAGCGCAAAATTTCCGATTGCGATCATGGACGAACCTCAGCGACCGCCAACACCCGATGACGAAGACATCAAACTCAACTTCTTCCCCGACCCCCCGCCTTTCTACAAACACTTCACGACCGAAAACCTCGCGCGACTCAAAGAAATTGAGAAGGAAGCTGCGCCTGAAGATGACGAAACGAAATCATTGCCCGCGTATGCATCGACGAAGCTCACCGCAGAGCAAATCCTCGCCCTACCGACCGAACTTCGCTACCTGATCCCACCCGAACCGCCCGCCGACGATGCCGAATTCCACGTCTTCGGTACAAAGGAAAAGGCAAAGGGCAAAGATGTCTTCCAGCAAAACATAGACTTCATAGCCGAGCAGCTGAAATGGCAAGACGTCTTCCCAGACTGGTCGTACGAGCAACTCTACCCTTCCTCCTCCACCGAGCCCACGACCGACGACCCCTCCGCGCAACCGCCTACGGCGAACAACTCCGCGTCTCTCGACCGGCAAAACTACCTCTTCAGGTTTCTGCGCAGCATACTCATGAGTTACATATCGCTACTCGGCATCGTGGCAGCGAACCCGACGTCAGAGCAAAAAGACCAGAAACTCAAGGATATCATGACGCTGGTCGCGAATATGCATGCGCTTATCAATGAGTACCGGCCGCATCAGGCGAGGCAGACGCTCATTGCGAAGATGGAGGAGCAGGTGCGCAAGAAGAGGGAGGAGGTCGAGGGTGTGAGGAGGATGGGGGAGAAGGTCAAGGAGGTGCTTGCTGGATTCGGTGGGGTTGACGGGGAGGATAAGACGGGTGAGGGTGGTGAACAGACTATAGAGGATGGCATGAGGGCGAGGGAGGAGGACAGAAGACGCGTGCAAAGGGGCATGTGGGAGGCTATTGGTGAGGTAGTGGGATAAAACGCGCGATGTCAGTCAATTATCACGACGAATGGCACGTTCATACAAGGCGGCGGAAGCTGGGCTTATAGTGGATGCGCGGTCGACACATAAGCTCCATTCGTACCTCTGAAGCCGGCACATAACGCGTCTCCCACATCAGCGCAAAGAAACGTCAGGATGTCTTTCATGAACATTGCAGACGTTTGACTCCAGACCCACTGCGCCTGGTATACATCGCAAGCAAGCAACCGCACTGCCTGGTTTCTGGGATGGTGCTGGGCCTCCATGGATTGCTCCAAGACATACCGACTTTATCCATCTCCACGACGGACTTGTCTTCCTTGGCTGCTTAAAACCAATAGCAGGTTCTATATCTG